AAAGTAGTGCCACCCCTCTCCCTGAAACTGTTAAAAATAAAGCAGGTCTTTCAAGCCTTGTGTTATGAAAGCAGCTTGGATATACATGTTCCATGTTCTTCAAAATAAGCAGTATTTTGGCTGTTATATGAAGACAATTATAGGGATTGTTTGTGTGAGTTTGCACCTTTTATGGTGGGAGAACCCTTATCAAAATCATTGTCCTGGTAGATTAATAAATTCTTATACCCAGGGTTAGACTACGTTAGACAGAATCAAGGTTATACATCTTGGTCTTGAGCAAGTCTGTATGGACCAAAAGCTTAGAGACCCACGATAAGCTTTTGTCTGCATTCCTAGGAGTTTTCTGCATTGGTATTCATCTGTTCAGCTATTCCCTTTCAATATTTGTGCTGGGGGAGGACAAACCACCAACGAGTTCAAACAATGCATGACTGTCTGGGAACCTCCTGCCTACCCTACTGCCACTGGAGTTTGGAGCGAGTTCAAAGAAAGATGCTGGAACCCACGCTGCCAGAAGAAGCTTTGCCTACAGACAGACGTCAGCACTGCTAGGAAAGGAAAGGAAGGAAATAACCCGTCCCAAACCACCCGTCGCTTAAACATTATGAACCTGAAATTACCAGCCACAACTAGAGAAGCATCTTCTTGTAGCAGTCACTACAACATCCATACTGATGGTGCTGCCATCTCTGTTCTGGTCACTGCCCTTTTCCCAGCAGACCACTTCTAATGTACAACCACCAGCAAACCAAACATAATAAGAATCATGTTTTATTCCCTAACACCGGGAATTGAGATCTATGCCTTCTAATTTGGACTTGTCACTGGTGTGATGGCAAAGAAAAACAAGTAGGCTCACTAGTTTGGTGTACATGAGATGCCGATGCACTTGGTTTTGCCCAAATTAAAGGTAGATTAACTCCTTCTCATACTTTTTACCCATAACTACAGCTCCTTTTTTAAAAAAAATAAAAAAACCAAAAGAAGCCTATTACCATCAGCCCAGAAACCCTAAGAATAAGAACTCTTGTGATCTTCATACAAGGTTTCCAGTTGAATGGTCTTGTCCAAAGACAGAGATGGACAGAAATGTAAACTTTAACTAGTGCACCTGAAACATTAGATTTCAACTATATTGTACATGGTATTTTCTCCCACAGTGCTGATTTTCATTCCCATATTTAACGTCCATGTCTCAAAGACCTAATGCTTAGACAGCAAGTGAATATCAGCTTCTCTGAGATCATGACCTGTTCAAACCTCTGAGCCACATTTCTGACCCATAAGTGTTGTGCCTTTGAAATCTGAGGCCCCCCTGAGGCCCCAGGAATACAGCAGCAGAATACAGAATTCAAAGAAGAATCAATAACTCTATTTATTCCATGTCTGTTAGTCATGGTATGAATTTATGTCATTTAGGATTTTTCTTACTCCACTGGTGATTTTGGGAGTGCACAACTCATAAGCCCTGGTTAAAAAGTGGAATAGAGCCTGGAGAGAGAAGGTAGGCTTGACCTCCTACGGCTGATTTGCTCTGAGGGAGTACTTGGTCCTTCTACGCCCAGGCTAGAACAAGCCAACCAGAATCAACTTACCTATCCTGTGAAACAGGCATCCACCACTAGGCATCCATACAAGATGGCAAGCTGCAGACCGTAAGAGGGCATCATTTAGCACAAGTTGATAGCCAGTGAGGTCATGACCGGGATGTTACATCCGTGAACTGGACATAGTGATGACCAAATGGCCAACCCCTCCCTAGCCATTAAGAATTTTACTTTCCTTAGCCACAAATGGCTGAATCACTCTGCTGACTCAAAGCGGGGCCTATCCCATCTCAGAGACAGCTCCGACTGAGTCAGGCTGGGATCAGCATGCATCCTTTACTCCTACCAGCGCTCTTCTGCCGAGGCACAGCTGCCACCGTTCCCTGTCCAGACACCCCACGCATACACACACTCCTAGCAGTTTTTCTGCTCCTTGGGGAATTGGTCTTTTTTCTTTCTTTCCTCCTGTTATCTGACTGTGCTTCCTGTCAGCTGGGTTACCCATTATAAATCCCTACTGAGTAGACTTACGTGAATAATGGATTTTGTGGATAAGTGGACAAACGAAAAAGCTGGAGATTAAAAAAAATCCCTCTTAGGTCAATCCAAAGTGATAACATTTTGGGGATCTGGCACAGGGTTTTAAGAAACAATTGTTTGAGGTTGACCAAAGCATCACCCTCAACCACAAGTGAAAGAAATAATCATTTAAATTTGGGGCTGTTTAACCCTTTCCTGAAAGACGTTTTATTTAAGAGTTAGATGTGTTGATTTTATGTTGAACATTTCCTTTAGAAAGTATTTGTAAAAGAAACATTTAGACAGTTACAGAAATGTTTTCCCTTTTGTTTTTGAATAAAACTATTTACCAAATGTATCTACTGAAAATCTGCAAGTCATCATCCCAAAACTGCACTTTTCAGCAAACATTCTTTCCTAAAAAAAGTTTCCATTTTCCTTTACAGCATTTTTCTTTCATAAATCAGTAGTGATAGCCAGAAAGACACCAGCCAAATAGCTTCAACAAGAATGAGACTCATCAGTTACTGTGAATGGGTGAATAATACCCTGTATTTTCAAGATCCTATTCATCCTGACTGTCTCTAGTTTAGGGATCTGATCCTATATCCTCAGGATCCCTATATCCTGAGGATACAGGTCGATTTTTCAAATCTGCTCAGAATTTTGGCTGAAGTTTTGACTATACGTCACCTTGAAACACAGACCAATCTTACTTAAAAATTGGTGTCAAAACATCAAGACACCTAACGCGATTGCATATCTGTCAGGCGGCACAGCGAGCCAATTCCCGTCGCATATTCCCCAGCTCAGGTGTAGTCTCTAACAGCTACATGACTTGCGTGGCAGGTTGCTGCTTGGCTGGTCCCATCTGGCTTTGCCCTACAGCAAGACCCCTTGCACAAATGTGCCTGCCTCCTCCCATAGCAGGCAACAGGGAGACTTTGGAGAATGACGTCTTCTTGTGTGGACCCTGTGGGTCTCTCTCAGTGCCTCCTGTGCCAAAGCTGCGCCATTTGGAAGTGCTTGATTCAGGATAGAGGCAATGCAGACAGCAACACCTGAAGCTCAGGTTGCTTGCTGCTTCCTGTTTCACTCGGACGTGATTTTGCAAAACTTCTTCTCTGCAACATCTGACATGTTTTTATAGTAGGATGACAGAAATTCTTAACAAAGGACGGATGTTCCTAACGCTGAGAAAACAATCTTTCCCATCCCCCCCACCCAAATCGTTCTAAGACGTTGGTGAATTCTTTTAGCTGAAAATTAACACCACTGGCACATAAGATTTCAGCCTGAATGACTGGATTTAAATTTGTTGGTGTCATAAACTGAAAGTGGATTTAGAGCAGCAAGAAGCAGGCAACCTTAACAACAAGCACAGCTTGCTGTGCCACCTTTTAATAAAATATTATCTGTCATCAAAATTAGCCAACTCTCTTAAAAATTCAGTCTTTGTGGTCTTATTTTTCTGCTCCCCTGCAGTCTGCTCCTAAGCTCCAACTGTATCCATGTATAATCTATAGGTGTTTTGCAGAATCGAGTTACTACTCTTTGAATTATAATCTCTTTAAACAAGGTTAGAGATTTCTGCTTGGCCAGCTGCCACTTACCTCTGCCATTTGTATTCATGACATGATCATGACGGACCTGATATGCCATAACTGGCATAACCTGTGTCATCATTTGCACTCTGACAAACTGTGTGAAAAATGTTACAGAGGCAGAAAGATTGGTGCTTTACACATGGGCTGAACAATCAGTTTGTGCAGGTGTCAGGGACTGTCGGAGGGACAGGGAGGAGGAAACCGCACCCTTGTGATTATGATCACAGGCTCCAGGTGACCCAGAAGACTCTCAGTGATGGACAGTAATGAGGAAAAGAAAGAGAATTAGTAATTCTGTGAGGAGGTGCACTGTGGGGAGACAGAGTAACAGCAGGGAAGCAATGCAGTGAAAAAAATGAGCAAGATGAAGGGGAGGAAACAGCAAAGAAACTGAGAGAAATAAACATGAAATGGGGGAAAGAAACAAGGACAGGGAAAAAGAGCCAGCACAGGACAAGAAGGGAAGAGCACTGAGAAGTGTTTATACAGATAGATGCACCAGAAGCCAAGACGTTGCAGTGAATCCCAAACAGCTGTCATGGAGGAACCTGCAGCACATCCACATTGCTGGAGAGGAAGGAGAACAGCAAAGGGTCTCACCGTGAATTTCTTGTAGAGTTCATAAGTGAGGAGAGGGTTGGGCAGTTCCCTGAAGTACAGCTTGCAGAGCGACCCCACGCAGTGGATGTCCTGGAGGTAAACTTCCCTTGTCAGATCCGGACATTGGTCAGAAACAAACTCTTGTCTGAAACAATATGGAAACATAACATCTTAGGCAAATAAGCATTGTAGCATCCCAGTACTCCACCCCAAGAACTCTTTCACAGCTAGAAGAAAAAAACAAACTGGAAAGCAGGGATGCCTCTGCAGCCTGGCTCACATTGTCTCCTGGGATCAGGCCCCGAGGTTTCAACTAGTCTCTGGTTTCCCTAACATAGTCACATGAGTGGACCCCAAACTGATATAAAGGGATTGCTTTGTCTTGAGAGAGAACAACTCAGCACTTGTCCTAAGACCCTCCAGGCCTTTCCCATTAATAGATGCAGAGGGAGATAATTTTTTTCATTGTCATGGACTAATCCCTGTAATGTCGTATTTCCCTGTTACCAGCTTCAGGGACAGTTTATCTTCTGCATCACTGTAGAGCTCTGTTAGCCCCAGTCTATGCCTGAGAGACTAACAGTGAAAAGGTAGCAGCAATGTGACCGAATCCCTCTGGCACTCAGACAGACTGCCCTTACCTCAGCTTTTGTATGTTGGATGTCACTCCTGAGAGGCGGTAGATCCCATCCACAATGCCATGAGTCTCAATGAACTCCGCACAGCTCTTCAGCACGTAGGGGACTAGGAGAGGAAAGCAAGTCAAGATGCCCCATGAACACACACTGAGAACTTCCACAAGTAACCACAGAGGAGACAGTTTCATGAAACAATGGCAGAGACTCTCTGCACATGCAGGACAGGGTACAGCAATGGCAAAAATACAGGGCAAACCAAAAATAAACCCCACAAAGTGGCTGTAGCCAATTTGCAAAGTGAGGATATGCTATGGTTTTGCCATGCCACATTCATTGATGTATAACAACGACAGACCCTGAAGTCACAGAAACATTGTGAGAAGAAAGGTAGGATTTCTCTCTCCCTTTTTCTTTTCTTTCCAGAAAAAGAAGCAATTTCATTCTAATTGAAAGCATGAGGTAAGGCATGAGGTCCTGGGAACCTCCCCCCTCCCCAAGATAGAGTTCCAGCCTCACTGAATTGTGCCAAAAGGTCTGATTGGCTTGGATAAAAATCAGAGAAGCATTTGCACTTCCATATAAGCCTACATACCCACAGTTTAGTGCTCATAAACTCCCACAGAGGGGGTATAAAGTTCAAATATTGACTAGATCTGCACACTGACAAAATCTGACATTAGCTTCAAAAGAACTCCATCAACATAACCAGCCAAAGACTTAACCAGCCTTAAAGCTGAGAGGAGCCTGAGGCACAACATTTACATCCAGACCTGGACCCAAAGCATATGTTTATTTTTTCCCCATTATATAGGTATAGGAAACCTTCATCCTCTTGGTCAGACCAAGCCTCCCTGTCCCCAGTACTATAACAGCCCTAGCTATAACAATAACAGTAAGAGAGCCCTTCCTTATTAGGTGCTAGAAACTACTGTGTATTTAACGCAATGCTTCACACAGCCATAAGCCCAAAAGTCAGTAAATGCAGAAGTTAAAAGTTCCCTGCTGTAATGCTGACTCTGCTGCACTACACATTCGGAAAGCTGTATGGAAGAACACAGACTAAGCCATACATTTGACTGGAAAGCCAGGCATAGCAATTACTGCATCTTTGCAACACCACAGAGATAATGCCTCTGGCTGGACCTTCCCTGAGTTCTTCTGCTCAAAGCTCAGGACCATAATGACATATTAACATGTGCTTCATCAGGCGGTATCCAATAACAGCACTCCAAGGACAGCTTGAACAAAACCCACATGGTACATTATTGTATTTCTCACGGGTGCCACTGAGGCCAGAGCCAGCTCATGGGTGGACTTGCCCCTGCCAAGCAGCCCAGGGCACAGGCTCTGGTAAGGAGGCTCCCAAGCTGGTGCCTTCCTCAGTGGCACACTACTACTGAGCCCAGTGGCTCAGGGAAGTGCTACCCTTCTGCCTCCCGAGTCTTACTGAGGGAGGTAAAGAGGTCCTTCCTGTGTGTCCCTTCTCTTCTCTTTTGGCCAACCCAAATGCTGGAATACGCGAAGCATCAGTGATTACTTGGAATCCTGAGTGAGCCAAACAGACTAATTCTCCTCAATTAAAGAAGCCTTTCCAAAACAACAGGGGAAATTTCACTTCATGTTTTTTTGAGCATGGACTCAATGGAGGTATATTAGTCATGCTGTGTCCCACTTAAAGCCCTTAGGCTGATTTTTAAAACCCTTGAGTTGTTGGGCTAAGACTAACAGCTCAGCTTCTGGCAGGGGCCCTAGCCTACTACAACAATGTTCATGGGAAACCACGAAATCACCAGCAAAACAGGTGAAGCCTACAGAGTCAAAGCTTCATCCACAGCAGTCACAGGACTATAGGATTCTCTCTTCTTTTGAGAAGGCACATCAGTATCTTCCAGAAGGAACATGGGAAGCATTCCTTTCAGTGCCTACAGCACCTGCCGCCTAAGAGGACTAGGTGATGGGGAAGGAGACAGAGCAAAAGAAAAGTATGAAATTTCCTTAAAATCCTGCCAAGAAAAGCCCAAGTGACACATCAAGAAAGAGGACCTTCCTATCTCTGAGTAAGACCTGATTATCTGTAACTGCAGTAGGGAACTCAGATCATATGATGATGAGCATGCTAGAGATAAAAAAAAAAAAAAAAAAAGGAAAGGGAAATGACTTCAGGCCTCTTCTTCATTTCTGTCTGGTCGGGCTGTACTGTCTTCGTAGCAGGAGCTATGTATACATGGCGTATTAAGATTTCCTTCTTGGTAGGGGCCTCTGGGAATAAACCTAATGCAAACAGCAAAAATGAAAGCTAGACAGATCCATGTTCACTTCAGATCCTTTTGGGTGGGAGAATGGGTGAACCACTCCATGCCACCTGGAAAAAGAAGAATTAATTGAACAGAAAACCTATCTGATCAGGAAAGACATATGACAAAGTTTGCTTAAAAATTAAATAGTCTTTCGTATAGACAAACTTCATATGATGGTGCCTAGCTGCCACGCAAAAGGGGCCCATGCCCCCAGTGCCCTTTGTTAGATACTTTTTTAAACCTTAGTGTTAATAAGCACACCAACTAAAAATGCACAGACTGATGTTTGTTGTGACTAATTTGACCCCTTGAAAGTAAGACCTCTTAAATCACACTACTTTTTTTGCTGAGTTTTAAGTTTACTTGGGATAAATTAGGTCAAGAGGCCTCAGGCAGGTAAGCAAATCTCCTGTACTCAAACTAGAGAAGGCTAGATCCATCTGTTGAGGACTGGCAAGCAAAAAAGGGGCCTGAGGGGAATAATATGTAGCAAATGTATAAAATTCAACCCATTTATAAAAGATTCCACAGTAGAGACAACCTATAGACTGCAGATAAACAATGTGCACTGAGTTCTGCCAGTATCTCTTACTCCAGCCCTGCAGTCTTCCCTGCTTTTCCAGCCCTGGGCTTCTCACATATCTCTACCAGTGCCCTTCACTCATCATGCACATGATTTCCTGCCTCACCGGGTCTTTGGCTCTTATGAAGAGAAACAGCCAGTTACGTCAAAATGCGTGGCGGTTTTGTGATGTCAAAAAAAAAATAAAAATCCCACATAGGACACATTTCACTTGCAAGCAAAAACTACAGACTTTGACCTCAGATCCCTGGAGGTGAAGGGACTGCATCAGCTTCCTGCAACGCAAGCTCCTAAATGCAGTGCTTATATGAAACTGGAGCACAATAAATATTTTCTTTCAGCAGAACCTACAGCTCTGAAATTCTTGAGCAGCTCTGATCTCTGACAAAGCTGAGTCTTTTGGGCACTTGGGGGAGGTGAAGTTAGAGCGGCGGTGAGCAGCTCCCTCCCACTTCCAACCGTCTCTATAGTGGTTTGATTATTTCGGATGTGGCTCCCAATGAATGAAAAAAACCCCTATGATCAACCCTGAATGCAGGAAACTATAGTATGTGCTTTACAACAGGACTCTATCAGCATTACAGGGCACATGTAAATCACAGAGCCAGGTCTCTCATGAAGGAAGATTGGATGTGGATGGGGATTTGTAGCAGGGGTGTGCATGTGCATGAAGGCAAAGAAAGGGGTGGGGGGGTAGGAGGTGTCCAATCTTGACACTTCTATAATTAAAACTGTGCTGGAGGCTTAGAAGTTGGAAGAGGCAGCTGGTGTCACACAGACCCTGCTTGTTCTGCCAGACAGCCAAACTGTCCTCATTTAAAACTACAATAGAAACCAGATGGAGGAGGAGAAGAGAGCATGGAGCAAGGCATCAGTCATAAGGGAAATTGAGTTATAAACATGCTGCACACAAAAGACAATACTTCTCTTCCCCTAGACAAAAATAAACCAGAAGGGCAGTCTCAGTAACTCGTTCCACTCTCACTGGATATCATCTCCAAGCCCAGCATACACAGACATTCACCTTCACCAGGGTCTTTTCTGTGACCACAGCTCATGCCACCTCCTTTACACGTGTGTGTGGCTCCTGCTAGGTCAAGTATTGCGCGCCTCCTTCCCCTCCCCTCCCCTCCCCTCCTGAACCCACCAGCTTCCAGTGCCAGCAAAGCAAGATGCTCACTCTTTGCCTGCCTGACAAAGGCTTCATCTGGCACAGGGCTGACCATTTCAGATCAAAGCCAGGGAGACCTTTAAGCATGCACCTGACTAAATCACCAGGCAGCCCTGGTAGGAAGGAACGGTAGCAAGAGAGGGAGTCATCCCATCAAATGACTGGTGGAGGGATGGCCTCCTGGTCTCCCAACAAAGCCAGCAAAAAGCAAGAAAGACCCTGGTCCAGCAGGAGATGAAAGCAATGTCCTGTAGCCTTCAGTGCTGCCTGACAGAAGAAACTTTTAGTCTGCATGGGCTCCAGAAGGAGTCTCGGGAAGAGGTTGCTAAGTCAGCCTCCCAAGCCCGTCAATGCAAATACTGTCCAGTAAGACTGTGCTTAAAGCTAGCTAACCCGGACTGGGTCTTGCATTCAGGGTACACAGTACTGAACCGGACTGAATAGCAGCAGGCTTCATTTTTGTCTTTACCCTTCTGCTGTTCTTTCAGAGGGCTCCGTACAAGGATAAAAATTAGTGACAGAACTACTCAGGTCCTTCTCAGTGGTTGGTTTATACCACATGGAGGAGGTTTCACGTCCTCTCTAATTTTATTTTTATTTTAGTTCAAGTAACAGGAGGATAAATGCAGACCTTTCATTTCACCTGAAACATCAACTTTTTCATGTTTGAGTTGCAGGAAATAGTTTGAGGGGTTTTTTTTATTTCTTCCAAAAATGAATCCTGTGCTATAAATAAAAAGGTGTGAGCATTTTTATTTCACCATTTTGGTTTTGTTACATGTTAGTATGTTTTTTTAAATTGTCTTCCATTGCCCTCAATAGTAGTGCATGCTTCCTATCATGCTATGTCAATAACATGACAATAAAGGTCAAAATAGTCTCTTGTTTCAATTTAAATGACTAAATTAGGAAATATTTCCTCCTAAAAAATAAGTGTTTCAGTCTGTACTAAGCAAGAGCTGTTATTCTGTACAAACAAAAATAACAAAACAGTACACATTTTAGAACATACTAAAATACTAACTTGGCCTCCTAATCACAGGAAAGGAACAGCA